GGGGTTACACACAGACAGAATGGCTGGCTAGGGGGATGAAAGAAAAGAGGGGAGGTGGGAGGCATGGAGGGGATAGGGCTGAGAGATGAGGTTGACGTGATAATGAAGAGGTTAAGGATACCATGGAGAGAGAGGGTGGGAGGTCAGATCAGAGAGAGGGAGAAAAGGAGGGAGCACCAGAAAGAGACAGAAGTAGAGAAAGAGAAAAAGAGGGAGGTCACATGAGAGGTTGAAGAGGTGGGGGATATTTAGCCACCAGGTCAGAATAGTATTGTGTTAAAGGCTCTTTGGGAGTATCTAGGTTATTCCGAGGTAATGTTTGTGACCTCCCTGCTTCACATTCTCTTCCCATTTCCTACATTTTACCTCTTTCACCTCAGCCTTGTATGTTTTATTTCAAACCTCCTCTTCACCGTTGGGTATTTCAATACCCATTTCCAAATCCACACATGGGGTAAGAGTAAGAAAGAGAAAGAAGAAATGATAAGGAGAGGCCAATAAATGGCCAAAAGACAGAATGATGGAGAGACGCATGCAAGAGGCAAGAGGACTTCCCTCTTCCCTTCCTATCCTATCACCACCACCACCCAAACCCCTTCTCCCATATCTCCATAAAGGCCGATTAAATGAATAGACAGACAGCAACCCCCCACCTCCCATCCCCCGATTTTACAGCTCAATCATACTGCGTTACTGCCGACACATAGACCGCTTATCCTGAGTGTCAAAATTGAAAAGGGAACGAAAGAAAGAGAGGGAGAAAGACTGTAAAGAAAAGAAAGAGCAAGTAAGAGGAGATAGGGAAGCAGGAGAATAGTGGAGGGGAAGTGGGGGGCGGCCCGAGAGCAATTTCTTCCTTGAATAAAGAAAGAATGGGGGAGGGGGGGTTGTAAAAAAAAAAAAAAAAAACACTAATGGCAAGGCCTCTGGTTCTGGTAAAATAGACTGTGTTATAGGTTCTGGCTTTCGTTCGTTGATTCATTCATTTGTTCGTTCCTTGCTCTTTCGTCAAGTCAAGTGCTCGCCTGTCTGTCTTTCTCTTTTGTGTCCACGAGTCCAGATAAGAGCTGCTGGCATGACTGCCCGGTAGTCATTTAGTTATTACAGAAAGAGAGGGAAAGAGAGGGAGGATGAGGGAGTAAGAGAAGAGAAAAGAGAGGATGAAAAGACTAATTCTACAGACAGATAAATGGCTCGTTTTGAATGGCCTTTCTTTCTTTTAATTCACTCTCTCATTCGTTCCTGTTTAAATATTTGCCTCCTTCTCTCACCTGACCGCTCCACGTTCCTCCTTCAACACACACACACACACACACACACACACACACATACACACACACTTGACTATGACATGCAGCCTAATATGCAACTGGAGTTGTCTCTATGAGAGCTATTAAAATGAGATCTTCTCTTCACTAATCCATATTATTGGACGCCAAAGCCTTTCACGCCCGCTGAATAATAACTCTGACAATATTTCCACATACCCACAGTTTCCTGAGAGTGACAGGATACAGCTCATATACTTATATTCTAATAAATGTGCGTATGTGTATATGTGTGTGTGTGTGTGAGTGTGTGTGTGTGTGTGTGAGGCCACTCGTTTGAATCAGCAAAAAGACTTCTAACACTTGTCTGTGTTTATGTGTTTGCATGCATTTCATCTCTCGCTCTGACTCACACACACATGTGCATGTGTGAGGTCCGCACGTGTGATCGTGTCCCGTTCCTTTCGGGATAACAAGAGACACACACTGGGTCTGAAACCTCATTTTCCTCTCCTAATGACATATCAAATGTTTGCATATAGGCCATATCAGTATGGAAATGAGCGTGCACACACACATACACACGCAGCTTTAGAATAAAAGAACCAATCAAAGAGATATGTGTGTGTGTGTGTGTATATGTGTGTGTGTTGTCACAAGTCTCTAAGGTTGGGTGAGTCTGTGTGTCAAACATGACTAGCAACACACACACACACACATACACACACACACACGCACACACGTACCCTAGCCTTGTTATCCCGGGGCCTGTCTTGCAGGCAGCCTCTCTAACGCTGAGTGATGTTTAAATTAGTTTACAATTTAGCCTCCTCGCTATCCGCAGACGGCTCTTAACTCAGTGTGCGTATGCGATGTGTTTTTGTGTGTGTGTGTTTGTGCGTGTGTGAGCGTAACAAATTGTTGCCAGTACGGCAGACATCTAATGACTTCAAATTAGCTGCCTGGCGCTCGCCTTGACACGTTGTTACCACTGTTAGCAGCCTGTGTGTGCGTATGCGTGTGTGTGTATGTGTGTGTGTGTGTATGTGAGGCTGCGCAGCCATATCATGAAGCATAAATTGGCTTCAACTCTCCTCTCTCTGCCTCTGTCTTTTTTCTCTTTGTTTCTCTGTCTCTCTCCATCAATTTGATTAAAAAAATTACTGTACCATGGCGAGCAGAAACGTGTGCATGTGTGTGTTCACATGTACATTGTGCACGTAGTCAGTCAGTCACACACACACACACACACACACACACTTGACAAAATGTGGAACAAGTAGGCTGCAAAAGGTTAACAGATCTATTCTATTATGTTCTATTCTATTCATTGTAGACTCTTTATTGTTTGCCTTATGTGTGTGTGTGTGTGTGTGTGTGTTTGTGTAAGAGTCTGATAAAGAATGTTGAGGCGACGTATTTCTTTCTGACAATCCTTTCCACCCTGAGTGAACAGTAGATCACTTTCTGTGTGTACATGTACGCATGTATGTGTGCGTGTGTGTGCGTGTGTGTTTTAGAGAGAGTATTAGATCAGTGTTCAGTGTTGTAAACAATGAGGATTTCATAAGGTGTTCACATCACACACACACACACACACGCACACACACACACACACACACACACACACACACACTTGGAAGATGAAGAGTTCTATCTTTCTCTGTGAGCAGTGGATTGCCTTTCTCGTTCATCTAATCACGCCATCTTCTCTCCTCCGCCAAGCAATCGTTGTGCTTCGCTCCCTCCACACAGAAAGCTGCACACACACACACACACACATACATACACACACACACACTCAGCCCAGCACATAACCTGGCCAACTCAGTCCATTCACTTGTAAAAGTAGTGAGCAAAGGAAAAGGCAATCCCAATGCAAAACAATACATTAAATATACATCATGTGTACATTAGTGTGTCTATAGAGGTCTGCGAGTTCTCTGTGTGTGTGTATGTTATATATACAGCAGGTGCATCCCAGAGGTATGTGAAGGAGAGACAGAGAGAGCAGGCAAGAGAGATAAATGGATTAAAATAGAAAGCATAAAAAGAGTAAAATGCGGGACGGGGAGATTACAGGAAAGAAGATAGGATTGGAATGAGGCTATATGTTGTTTTGAGAAAAATAAATATTCAACGGGCTATACTTGGTATATGGATCGATATATATGTCTGCTTACTGCCCATATAGCAGCACATAGATCAATACACTAACAAGAAGCAATGCATATTCCCATCTCCCTACCTCTCTCCCTCTCGCTCTTCATCTCTTTTTCCTCTTTCTCTCTGTTATTTTCACATTTATTGATAAGATATAATACATATCATTTGGAGACCCTGTTATCCAATGCCATTGACTTTATTGTTATAGATTTACGCAGCATGACTGAGTGGTATTTATGCCTCTAATCTGGTGCTTCCCTCTATACTCCCACAAACCCCCCTATACTGTTTGAGCCGTGGCAGCAGGGGGTAATTCTATTTTATTCTGTTCTATTCTATAACCATATTTCCGGTCGACAATGGGACTAATCTTTGTGCTAATCTGTGTTAATCTGAGACACTGCTCTTCCCTCCTTTCTGCCGTCACAACAGGTACTGTCACTTAAACCAAAACCAGATTATTGTTTTAATCTCATACGTCTTGCTCCCTGTCTTCCTCTTCATTTTAGCGTCCACGGCCAGTTGCATTCATCTTCATCAGTCTGTCCTATGTTTTGTGTTCCTATTTTCTTGTTTTTGGGCCCTTTCTTGTTACTGCCATTTTATAAATGTTCTCATCTTGTAGTTGAGAACCAATATTGAGAGAAGGAGTCAGTGTGAACAGATTATATTAGATTCTTCTGTTTTAGTGATGGACCTGTAGAGCGAACATATACACTAAAAGAAGAAACAGACATTCTACTGTATCAAAAGCTATTCACTGCTATATCATTAAAATGTGACATTTTCATTGCACTTTATTAGTTTGATTTACTGTCTTTTCTAATCTTTTGCATTTGATTTACATCACCTGCTGTTTAAAAACTCTCTACAATGTTGTTTTAAATCCTATATTAAGATTGTTACCACACAGAAATATGAGTTAATGTTCATCACTTCAAACACAAATGACCTCAAATACAAGTTCTGTCTCTCATTCAACAAAACAAAACCTAAAAAAAGTCATATTAGTCTTGTCGTGTTTTTGTATGAAGTTTTTGACTTGTAATACCAGCACATAAATAGTTCACCAGTAGGGTAAAACTGTGGTTTCAAAGGGCATTGTCATATATATTGCACAGTGACTCACAAACACATCCACCCACACACACATCACATATAAGGGGATTGGACTGTTTGGTTCAAAAGTTCAGAATACCCGAGTGTGCGTGTGGCAAAGGTGTGATACCAGAAAGGGCATTTGGTTGATCAGGTGGAGGAGTCAACAGTTCAGACTGTCTGAGTGCAAGGATTAGGGTGAAAGGTCATGTCTTAGCACCTGGTGTACTTGTGTGTATGTAACTGTGCCCGAACTGCATCTGGAGGAGCTGATTCCAACCTTGTACTCGGCCAATTCACACAGCATGTGTTTCCAACCTGTATATGTGCGATGGTGTGTGTATGAAATCTCCTATACTCTGGAGCTGGGAAAAAAATGGACATACGTATGTGTGTGATTGTGTCACAACATGGAGTCAGGCTGGGTTCAGTGTGAAAGTCAGGGTTCAGCAGTTTTTTTTCTCCTACCTGGGATATGTTTGGCCCAGCCGATGTTGACCACCAGCTCTCTGTCCGCCAGGTCACACAGCGTAGTCAGGGCCTTGATGTCGCTGTCTGGTACTGTTGGGTCAGGCATGGCGTAAATCTTCTCTGGCTCGGCCACCAGCAGGTGAGAGACGATTTTGTTATCTGCAAGGCAGCCAAAGGCAACTGACATGACCACCAGACAAGGAGAAAGACACAGAGACAGAGAGATGGTGAATGTTTGCCGTATTAGGCTGCAAGCTGTTCCACACCAATCCGGTGCAAAAAAAGTGAAAGGTCATATGCAAAGTCCCTTATAACATGGATTGCTAGATAACATGTGTCTAAAGGTGTTTCCATATGGGGTAAAAAAACAGTAGCTGACATGACCATTAGACTGGAGAAGGAAACAGAAACATGTCACAACAAGTCAACACGTAATTCATTTCAGTATTCTCGAGTTAAGATAATACACATAGAGCATTTATACATAATACTGTATATATTAGAGGCCGACTGATTCATCGGTTTGGCCAATTAATTGGCGTCGAAAGGAGGTTTTATAAACTGTCGTTCTGGCGGAACTTGGCTCTGACAGTGAGCCAATGGCTGTGCAACCTCCAACAGTCACATGGCGACAAATATAATCAACAGGTGCTGATGAGGGGGAGTGACATTGGCCGATTAACAGTCAATTTGCTTTTCTCTGTTACAAAGTATCATCATTATATCGGCCTTTACAAATCCAGGTTGACCTCTAATAAACTAAGCACAAAAAGTAAGTAAATTTGTGTTTGGTAGATTATTTCTTTGTTGTAACAATGTTTCTTGGCAATAAATCTTATACCACTGGAAAGCCTGTTTATTTCCCCTTTAAATGGTGCCACATTTGTAAGGAACATGAGTTTGTGGGATGAGCAGCAGAGCTGAGTATGTGGGCTGCGCTCATGAAAATTTGCCAAATCTTCCCTGCCAATGCCAAACAGCTTTTTTTTATTTTGCTGTTGACCTTTTGTGCTTAGTTTATATACAGTATGTATGTGTGCATGATTTGTATACAAACATGAATACGGAAGAATGTAAAACTTGTTTGGTACTGAAAAAAACTGAAATATATTAAAACCTTTAAAATCGTCACACATACTTAAAAGAGTGGATGTAAGTGTAGGTCAATTTTTGACATTATCTGAACAGTAATTTTTACTGTAAAATAGTGATATAGTATGGTATAATATAGTTCCTTTTGCAGTTCACTGTGAAGTGGCAGTTTTTGTGCCATGTTATTCTAAAATATGTGAAAGAAAAACAAGATTAAATCAGAGGATGCTTGACTACAAGGCCCTGTAATGTGCTGTGGAATTTTCCAACAATCAAGAAGCAGATAATTGATTTGATTACAGTAATTTGGCAGGACTAAAGATGACAAAGGATCAAAAAAATTATTGAAACGTTTCCAGTTTAGGAGATGCTTCAAGGTGTGATTAAAGGCGATTACTGCTGGTGATTCAGGTTGCTTAAAAAACGTTGTCTTTTGTATCGCGGGCCTAAAGAAGCTTCGCTGATACATACAGGAGGGAAAGATAATACTGAAAGCCAAACAGCTCAGCTGGTAATGGTGACATGTGGTGATGAGATCTCTATGGCCCATTAGTAACAGACTGATACCCTGCTTCCAAATTAATCCACTGACTAATCAAGCATGGGAATAATAACAGAGGATAGAAGAGCAAGAGCGGAGCGAGGGATAGAGGAAAAGAGAGAGGGAGATAAGCAAAGAAAAAAAAATGGGGGAAGACAGACAGGTAGAAATAGAGCCGTGGACAGATTGTAAAAGACAGACAGGAAGAGTCGAGAGAGCGACAGCTAGATAGAGATAAACAGCAAGAGAGAGTGAAACAGAGTTGGGGGGATGAGTTGTGTATTGATCTAACACTCTCCACCCCCAATTCTGTCTCTCTCTCACACACACACACACACACACACACACACACACACACACACACACACACTTGTACATAGATATATTCTTTCCATCCTCTTCCCTCTAGCTCCAGCTCCAGGGTCGTTTGAGCCAAACCAATCCCAGTCACACTGCAGTATCTGTGGGTAAATCTTATTTAATGTTTCCCTAATTAGAATCAATGGAAGCCCATTTCCAAACCCTGGGCTATTGTTCTGTTCTCACACAATCAATGGGGACGCCGAGGCTAGGGATTGGGCTACAGATAGATAGGCTGTGTGCGTGTATCTGAGAGCGAGACAGAGGGACAGAAAGATTTTTTTTTTTTTGTGCGTATTGACCGTGTGTGAGAGAAAAAGAACAAGAGAGACCCAGGAAGTCTATATCAACGCTATAGTTTGTGTTTTTAGTTCAGAGAGAGATCTGTGTTGATACATATATTAAGGAAAAGGTGTGAATAAGGACAATCTAAAGTTGTCAGTTGTGATTACTGTAAATGACTAATGTTGGGACTAAAGAGTTAAATAAACAAACCAAGAAAGCTGATCAATAGCCCCTCAGTAAAGACATTCAGTTAGCTGGAACACACACATGCTCTGTGTATGCAAACACCAACATCAGAAACACACAGGCACACACACACATATTGTACATGCATTCATATTATCCCATCATTTCAATGATTAGTGGTGCAGAAGTCCCGGTAAGCTGCCGTGCAGCCATTCAGCATATTGGCCTAAAGCAGAATATGCTCCAGCTTTAAGCAAAATGGGCTTTGGGGACCAAGCTGCTAAACACTCAATCTGCACTGCATGTGTGTGTGTGTGTGTGTGTGTGTGTATGTGTGTGTGTCATGTGTGCGAGCAGACGCTTAGCTAAAGAGCTAACTCTAGTTTGATGTGGTTGCCAGATTGGATTTAATCCGGATTAGGGTTCTGGCTGTTCCCCCTCCCTTCCTCTGTCTCCCTTCCCCTCCTCTTCTCCCTCGCACTCTCTCTCTCTCTCTCTCTCTCTCTCTCTCTCTCTCTCTCTCTCTCTCTGAGAAACCTTCTGATTTAGACTCAGTCTCTCCCTCCGATTCCACCTGTCTCTCTATCACTCTCACTCACTCTCTCCCTTGTTAATTTTTCAATCATCAGTCTTTGGCGATGGTTTTATTCTTTAAAAAACGCAGCCAATCCAGCCGGAGCTAAATGAATACCTTTATAGTGAAATATTACACACATAAAATGTTATGACCCCAAACTGGTAGCAGTAGAGGCAGGGAGATAAACTTGGTCCCAAACAGATGGGCTTCTCACTACCCTGTGTCTATTTATGTGTGTGTGTGTGTGTGTGTTTAATTTTTTTTACTCTCCAACTGTCTCCATTAACTCCATGAACTGATGGCAGTTCCATGTACTTCTGATCTTTGAATGACTCCTGTGTATTACATGAACACTGCCTGCACATCATGATACAATATGCTGGAATCTGAACATTTTCTGCTCATTTCCAGGGAGGGTGTTCCTCATGCACTGAACACAGTATGCCCTTCATTGTTCCCTGTGCATGCCATGTCAGATGCTGTTGTCACTGTGGCACATATGTCAATTTGTAGAGTTACTGTGCACCGAGGACAGTATGCAAATCTTGTCCTTGAGAATCACTGCTCAACCTCGCAGAGAAAAGGGCTATTATGTACTGTAACCAGTTAGTGTGTGTGTGTTCTTACATGGCTTCTTGGGAGGCAGAGCCAGCTGTGGGTTCAGGTATGGACTGTTGTCTGCATCTATCCGGCGTTTGTACTTCTGTCTCCCACCACGAACCCTGTCCAGACGAACACCTGTAAGAAATGACAGAGGAAGTGTATCAATACACTGCATGACCCTCGCTTCAAGAGAAAGTCAAAGAGACTTTTGAGCTCTTTTGATTATTTAACATAGAGACAAGGAATATAAAAAAAGAATATAAAAAGAGAGAGTGGAAATAAGATGAAAATGTGTGGACTGGAAGAAGATTACATATGATGTCTGGGAGTGAAACGCTGATAGCTGTGCTGTTTCTGCAGTGCATACGTGTGTGTATGTGTGTGTGTGTGTGTGTGTGTGTGTGTGTGTGTACGTCTGGTATGCACGCAGGCACTTTTATGTTATTGTCAAGCTTGCTAAACTCACTTGCCTCTTTTATTCTGCAACAAGCCTAATTTATAGAGACACCATTTGAGTAAAAGGCGCTTCTGTCTCTCTCATGTCGTCTCTCTGGCTTTCTGACTTACTCTTTTCCTGTCTCTTACCCAATCTCTGTCTCTCTGTTGTCGTCTCTCTCTCTCTCTCTCTCTCTCTCTCTCTCTCTGTCTCGTTAATTAATTGACACAAAGGAGTCCTAATTTAATTAGGCCTATCTCTCAGGGGATTGGATGTTACCGTGGTTACCACTTAAAGATGGATAAGGAAGACAGAGGTGTCATGTACCCTGGAGGAAGAGAGGAAAGGAGGAATCTGGAATTCTGTTTATACCATTCAGAAATAAAACGACGCTCAACAGAGAAGAACACTGTCCACAGAAACTTCATCAACAGATGGTCCAGAGGGGGAGAAAGTTATCCTAATGTTGCACACACCAAAAATGATACCACAATTCCTGCGTAGTGCTTTACACTCCACTGATTTTAAAGGTTTTCTGATGCAAGGTACATTTAAAACAGTGAGGATTTAAATGTATAGACAGAGAGAGAAGAAGAGGGAAACAGGAGCCAAAAAGAGTGAGAAAGCAAGAAAGAGATTTGCTAACACACAGAGATTTAAATCCTCTGAAAAATGTGCTGACCACGACCAAGACAACACACCTTAGAGATTTAACAGAAAGACTTTCTATTGCCAGCAAAAAAAAAAAAGTCAGGGAGCATGCCTGTCCATTCGTTGGCATTTGTAAGTGCTTGTAAGTGCACGTGCTTCCCTGTTTTATTTGTGTTTTGTACATGTGTACATTTTATTAAAGCCATCTTACATTGACGCACATTTTTTCTATGGAAATGTAGTCATTTAGAAACCTCTAACTGGCCCAGGCAGCAGTCAACTCAGTGAACTGAACATGACGTGCATCAGTGTGTGTGTGTGTGTGTGTGTGTGTGTGTGTGTGCGTGCGCGCGCTTGAGACGAAAATAGGTAGACAGAAGGGCTGACAGTCCAGGTACAGTGGGGGGGACAGTGTCAGCAAACGGTCAAGAAACTCTTAACACCAGGGGGTACAAACCCACTCACACACCCACCCTCTACTTTCTCTCACACACACACGTTCACACAATGTCTATGTTTCTCTAACCCACACCCCCGCCTTGTGTTTGGGTAAGCCCCCGACAAGCAGCTTGCTCAGTCACTACCTGGGTCAGTGGTTGGTCAGAGGAGGAGAAGGAGACTGAGAGAGGAAGTTAGAGAAGGTGGAAGTTTGGATGGGATGGACAAATACAGTCTAAATGAAAGGAAGGGTTTGAGGAAGAGCTTAAATCAGTAGGTAAGTGTGTCTCAGTAATATGGCTGCACGTATTCAAACCACAGAATCAAATTAAACTCAGCGAGAAATTAATTAAAATTTGATGCAGCTATCAAAAAGGGATTTTTGGGCAAACATCTGTTTCCCATGTAGCACCGCTTGTGCATCTATTTATGATACGCCTACACCTCCTGCTACAGCCTCCAATCACATATGTACTTTGCGCCACTTCTAAAGAAAAACCCACACAAAAACTGTAACATACAAAGCATACCATCAAATATATGGGCGGCACCACCAGCCTGGCACTCTCATTTAAGGAGGCAGCATGGTATCAGAACAGAGGAAACCAACACTGCCTGTAATGTTAGTAGAGTGAGCAGTTAACCTGAAGCAATGCAAGCATCTGCAACTAATGCTGCTTCCGGAGCACTCTTGCTGTTAGCTACTGCCCTCCTGGTTAGGGGCAGTGCTTTGCCTTTGTGCCATATATCAACAGATTTTCAGTCAGTCTTATTTACTCTAAATTTACACAAAAATGAAAGCAGTCAGTCTTAAGACACATTCCCATATATTGCTGTCTATTGCATGCACACTTTTAACCAGGCACACACAAACTCTCACACGCAGACTCACAATTTTTCACTTTCTCTTTTCCTTATACCTAAAAGACCCAGCGCTGTGCCGAGCTCACTTTATAAAGAGCCCTCTCTAACTACCTCATCTATTTTCCACCAAATTAACTCCCTCTCAGCACTGATTAATGATCAAATCTAAATGAATCAAATTAAAAATTGAAAATTATATTTCCAAAGCCCACAAAAAAGAGACAGGAGGAGGCTAGGGGGAGAGTGAGAGTGCTCTACCTCCTCTTAACAAATGAGCCTTCAAGCCGTAAAGAATGGGCAAGAGAGGAGAGGAGAGGAGAGGAGAGGAGAGGAGAGGAGAGGAGAGGAGGAAAAGAGTAAATTTCAGGATAAGAGAAAGGCAAGGGAAGAACAGAATAAATGAACAGGGAATGGGTTAGAAATGGCATGAGAAGGCGAGAGAAAAGAAATAAAATTTAGATAAAAGTGATAAAAAGCATTAATGGGAGATTATGATAAAAGAAAGAAGTAGAAAAAAGAGAACAGAGGAGAGAGGAGTAGAGCACCGGTTGTGAAATAAGAAGAGAAGGGGAGGCGTAAGTAATGGATGGGCTAGTAAACAAAAGAAGAAAGGAGAGTGAGAAAAAAATGAAATGAGAGAGAAAAGAAGGGATGAAATGAGGGCTAATAAAAGGACATGAGATAGGGACAGAATAATGACAGAAAGGGAAAGATGCATGAGAGAAAAAAACGAAATCCACAGAGGTTATACCCCTTAATTATACCCTTTAATTATTATGTCAACTAACAGTACACCTCTACTCAGTCTGCTGCTCCTACTTCTACATACACACAGAAACACATAACACATCCTGCCCCCATTTTCTGTGTTACACAGTGCAGAGTGTGTATAAACTGTACTCAATATCATGTAATTAATAACACCTATTTTACATTAACATTTTCATAGACAAGTCTTGTACCACTTTTTTCATATGCTGTACACACACTCCTCCACACACACACACACACACACACACGGTGACAGTGATGAAGGTGAATCTTTCCTATCGTGGGAATATTGCTGTCTGTCAATAGCACGATCTGCACTGATCACATCAGCATAGATTTTACACTGCACTGGCGTCACTCTGTGTCAGCGCACGTGTGTGTGTGAACAGTTGAGGGATTGCGAGTGAAATGCCTTTGACACCTAAGTGCTTCTGAAGAGAGAACCGGCAAGCGTGGCAAGAGAAAGATAGAGGAGCGCGAGGAGGAGAGGAGAGATGAGAGAAAGACACAAAATGGATTGATTTCAGATGGTCAATGATATGATAAGAGAATGGGAGGATGAAAGAGGGCGAGGACAGGAGTGAGGGATCAAGTGGAGAGAGGAGTAGGAAGACAAATAAAATGATTGATTTCTGCTGATCACAGTAAAGGGAAGAAAGGATGACAAAAAGCACAAGAGGAAGAGAGCATTTAAAGAGGCAGAGACATGGGGAGGGAGGGAGGGAGGAAGAAAGAGAGAGTGTTTTATGGTAATTGAAGTTGTAACAGGGTTGAAGTCTCTCTTCCACCTTAGACCAGGTTATCGCCTTATGTTTCTCTGTGTGTATTTGTGTGTGTGAGTATGTGTGTGTGTGTGTGTGTGTGTGAGACCCCAGTGTTGATGTAATAACATAAAGGGTTTTCCTTTGTGGGTTTAACAACTGATGGGCGAGTGGATTGGGTAAGACAACACACCCATTTAAATCTAATGTGTGTGTGTGGGGGTGTATCTATGAATTGTCTGCATGTGAGGAAGTAGAAATAACAAGATAAATAAACACACAACACAGGTGCATATGTAGCGTCAGGAACACCAGAATATTTTGTGATGTTCTCGTGTAACTGGTTGGTTCAGATCAGCGTCATGTCGGCAGAAGTTTTTATGCACAAATTTTTAAAAATCGTCACAAGAGAGCTTAAGGGAAGAAAGAAGAATAAAGAGAGCATAGGGTGGAGGGGAGGTTAAGAGGAAAGTGTGTGTAGTGTCATGCAGTGATGTTTGTTTAGACCAGAACAGATCAGAACAACACTGCCTGAGGCAGCGGGCAGGTGGCTGTCACTGGTGTGTGAATATGTGTGTGTGTGTTTGTGTAAATGTGGGCATGTGTGTGAGACCATGTGAGGTCTCTAAAAAATCTTTCCTTTATCCACATTAATAGCTGTTTTTCTTTCAAAGGAACAGTGTGTAAGGTTTAGGGGGATTTAGTGGCATCTAATGGTAAGAACTGCAGATTGCAACCAGCTGAAACTTCTCCCACAGGAATTCCTTCAGTTTTCTTTGTTCTGAAGGTTTGTACCAAGAGCTGAACTATTTGCAAAGGTCGCTTTCTGTCTGAAGCAATCAGACCAGGTGATTTAAACCAGTAAAAACACTGAATAAAGCAGTTTCACATTACAAATCAGTGTTTCCCCTACGCTGTTTGGCATGTCTCAGACGGGCCGTTAGCCCAGCACCTGCAAATGTGCGCTCACCTATTTTCTCTGATAGCTTAAAGTGTGCTCACCTTATTTCCGATGCAAAGATTCAGAAGGTTTTTACCATGAGCTGCAAATCCATTGATTTAAACCAGTAATAACACTGAATTAAGCAGTTTCATAGTAAAAAAAAAAGTGTTTTTCCAGTGCTCTCATCTCAGAAGGACCTCTAATTACAGTGACTGACGTAAAAACTGAAATAACAAAAGAAAACTGCGCTATTGAGTCTGTTTAAATTGTC